CACCCGGAGCGGCACGCGCGCCCGACTCCGCGCGCCGGGGCCTCCCTCGCCCGGCCCGCCTATATATGCGCCGCCCGCCCCGCCCCCTCCTTCCGCGCTCGCACGCGGCTCCCGCCTCTAACTTCGCGTTCCTCCCCGGCGTCTTCCCGGGCAAACTTCTCGCCCTTCCAGTTCCTCCCTCCCCGCCTCCGCGGACCACCTGCCCGGCCGCGTGTCCGCCCCGCCGGCCCGGCGCCCGGCTCCAGGCTCGGGGAGAGGCAAGTTTCAGGCGCGGGAGTCCGGATTTCCCGTCGTACCGTCTCGCAGGAGTAGGGAAAGGCAGGGCCGTGCGCCGCCGTCCCCCAGCCTGCGCCCGCCAGCCGCTCGGAGCCACCTCCCGAGGGGAGGCGAACGAAGCGATCGGGACCCGAGCCCCTCTCCTCCCGAGGATGGGGAGGGCGCCCGCGCCCCCTCCGCGGCCCGCGCCGCCGCTCACCTCCGCGCCCAGAGCCAACTCCGAGCGCCCCGGAGTCGCGGTGACTTCCCGGCCGGCACCCGCGCACCCCAGCTGCCGGCCCAGCCTCCACAGCTGGGCAAAACCAACCGGGGGCGGGGGGGGCCGCGCCCGCGCGAGGGTTTTGGCCCCTCCGCCGACCGCGGCAGCGCTAGGTGGGGGGACTGAAGAAGAGAGAGCAGGGGGCTCGGGCCGCGCGCCTCCCCCTGGTGGAGACCGACGAGGGACGTGCTGGAGAAGGTGAGGGAACCCCTTTTGCTTCCCCCTCGCCGGCACCCTTTGGCGGGCCCATATTTTGCACGCTGTATTTACCTCGGGCTGGAGCGAAACCGCTGGTGGATCTCGTGGAATTCTCCCTGCTTCGGGCACCTTTGGCGGCGAGGAGCTAGATTCAGGCGTGACAGAGCGACACAAAGCAGCAGCAGAAGGAAGTGAGCGGAAAAGGTACAGCGGCAGCGGCAAACGCCCAGCAGGGTGTGAGGACGCTTTAGAAAGTGTCCCCACCGCAGTGGCACCTTGGATGTCAACTTCGGCTCCCGCTGGAGTCAGCGCGCCGCTGCCGGCCCCGCCCCCGCACGTCCCGGGCGGCTGGGCCACTCGGGAGCAGAGAGCAACTTTAAGGGGGGCGGGGAACGGACTCATTCTTGATTCATTAGGTTTTCTCTTCCCCAAATTAAAAACAGAAAGAAGAAAAGAGCAGCCAAAGCATCTTAGAAACAAAAGGCAAATACCAACGACGTGAGTCACCCGGAAAGCAGATCCGCCCCCCTAAACCAGATGTGGCGCCCTGTGTCAGCGGAGACACTTAGACGGCGAGAGCCCACGGGTGAGACGGCGGGGAGCGGGGCTGGCAGGGGAGGATTACCGGCAGAGCAGAAGTTGGTCCCGAAGGCAGTCGCCCCGGAGGGTGCCCGACAGAGGGCAGGGAGGTGGCCTTAGGGAAAGGGACGCGCAGCGGTCTGTGTGGATCTATCGTTAGATGGGAAGGATTTGGGTCCTGAAAGACATTTATTTCCTGGCTCTCGCAAAATTCTGTATCCTTTTTGTCCCACTCAAATAATTTTCCCCAATGTGTAGGATGGTCCAGGCTGCTTCATTTTAAAAAGAGAAAGTGACAACCAAAGGGAAACACGGTTGAAAAAAAAAAAATTAAACCTGGTATAAAGAAAAATAACGGATGCTGAAGTTTGTTCCTGGAACCTATGTATTTGGCATTGAAGGTCTCAACTCCTGATCTGTAACTGATTCTTTTTGTAGGAAGAGATGGTCTGCAGAAACAACCGCAAAACCGGCCCAGACAAAAGCTGCAGGAGCTGGGGTTTACAGTGATTTGTGCAAAAAAGCCAGTTCATTAATCTGCGTTTGCAGTACCTTCACCTAAATCCCTTTTTCTTATTTTTAAAAATCTTTTGCACCATAAATGTGAAACACTGAGAAAAGAATTTGAATAACCAGTAATGTTTTTTTATCCCAGTTGTGATGACTCTATGAATCTATATGCATGTTAAAACTCATAGGACGTTGTACACCAAAGACTCAGTTCTACTACATGAAAATTCTAAAATTTAATTATTCATAGAAAAAACTTTAGTGATACTCTGACATGGTAACAAATCTGATTCTATCTCAAGAACAACTGCTGTAGCAGGAGGATGAGATTCATTTTAGTATTTAGAAAAATGGTACACATTCTCATCTGATATTATTGTATGGATGGATATTCTCATCCATATTATTGTATTGTGGTTTTAGTTATTATTCTGCTCTACAAATGAAAAACACCAGAACTTTGAGCTTATCATAACTAATGCTGACTTACACTGTTCTACTTGGTAAATGCTGTGCTGATCGCTTTATAGAAATTAGCTCACTTACTCTTCACATCAGTGCTCAGGTTCTCTCACTCCAGTTTTACAGATGAGAAAGTTGGCGCAAAAAGAAATTATATAACTTGTTCGAATGAATGAAGAATGATAGAGGTGGGAATTAGACCCAGATCTGCCTGCCTCTCACATATATTTTCTGTGTCCTATCTCGGAAAGGTTAAGGGGCTTGTGCAAAGTCCTGTTCTTCTGTTAGGTAGAACATAAATCGCACTCCTGGTTCTCTTCAGACTTCTTAAACACACACACACACACACACACACACACACACACTCCTACAGCTAGCAATGGATTATGATACCTGAATAGGGACCAAGAAAGGTCCTTTCTGGTTCCAACATTTATTTGCTGTGTGTCTTCTGTACACTTCCATTTCTTAATTTTTATCATTGCCATGGGAATTAATGTAGTATAGGTAACACCTTCGGCCAAATCACCTGCTAATATTGTTCTTTCCTTAATTACTCTCTTTTGTGTCATTTATCATGACCCACTTTATCTGTGACTGTGTTAGTGATAGAAGTTCAAGGATTGATAATTAAAAGACCTTAGAGTTTCCAGATCTAGCAAATAAAAATACAGGATACCAGTTAAATATTAATTGCAGATAAACAAGGAATAATACTTGGTATAAATATGTTCCATGTAATATTTGCGATATTCTTTCAGAAAAAGATTGGTTGTTTACAGTTGCAAGTCAAATTTAATTGGATATTCTGCACTTGTTCTGACAACAAAGTATCTCATAATCTGGTTAAAGTAACTGATAACAGAAGCATAAGCTCTCGGGTGCTGAATTAAGGGCAGTTTGGTGTATCTTTCTATCCCACCTGTTTTGTATATATTTTCTGTTTCTGCTATTTTTATATGAATGGGATAATTATGTATTATTCATAATCTTTTTTAAAACAACCACATACATTTCTGTGTCTGCACGTATAGGTATACTTTCTGCTCTAAAATAAAATATTCCATATTGTGGATTGTTACGGTTTTTAACAGCCTTCTTGAAAGATACTTAGATCAGAAGCTACTTTTTAAGTGAGAAAAGCTTGCTAGGATCAGTTCTATTTTGATTGTCTTAAGCATTTAATTACCCTAAATTATCATACTTTCTTTACTCCTGACAGCTTGAAAATGTTTTGTAAGTAGTGCTTTTTACATGCTCCAAAGCAGGACAGGATTTTAGAGCACATTTTCCCCCATTTATTCTCCATTCCAAAGTGAAATAAAGGGAAGATCCAAGTGTCCTGACAAGGACCAACTTACTGTTTCCAATGGGTCACTTTATAGCCTCCAGGAAACTGTCTCTACACCATCATTTATTTAGATTATTTCTAGAGAAACCATTTCTCTTCTGATGAGCAAAAGAGAAGTCAGTCATTAGTAAATTATTACAGTGTTGCTACTAAATACCAGGACAGCAAGGAATAATAATTTTTTTTAAAAGGATGACTGATTATAGCTACCCTCATGTAACTAACAGAAAGAAGCCATGAGGTCCAGCATGGATATACACTGAGATTTTTTAAACACCAGCTAATTTTGATCCTTGCCTTAAATTAGTAAAAGAGTTTATAAAGGTGAGCTTTCAAATCTAAAAGAATATCTGAAGCAGAGTCTAGCCTTGGTAAACATTAAGCACATGTTACAAAACCGTGAATCAACCCTTCAAACCAGAATGACCAACTTACGAGTCTAATAAAAGAAAGCAAGCCAGAAAGAAATTCTACATGAGAAAAATAATTTTTAGACATTGTTAATTATTAAAAAGAAAACTCTTCATGAATTGATTTTGAATTCACTATTTTGAAAAAATGGTCTCTTCTGAGATACATAAGTAGATACATATTAAACTGTAAACTAAGAAATACATAAACTGTAAGCTAAAGAATGTGTCAAAAAGGACATATTTGTCTCACTTATCAATACAGGGGCAGTTGAAGCTAGTAAAAAATATAGTAAGTCTCAAAATTCATCAGATACTAAACAAATATTAACCAGGGAACAACTGAAAGACTATACTAGGATTGAAAGAATAAGGGAGCTGAAAATATGTGACTCTTCTAGTATAAGGAAATATTGGAAGGCAAATAAAACAATTATACAGTAATATGCAGAGCTTTCCAAATAGCTAACAGTCTCACTCAACATTAACTCAAAACATGCTTTCTGAAGACCACACTCTACATATCCTGTGTATGCTACCTATGTGGCATATTGGATAGGGTGAGTAAAAATCCCTGCCCTCAGGTAACTCAGAGTTCAGTATATAATGGTGCAAAGCTCAGGATAGAAAAGGGGCAGTGTCAGAAGGTAATGCCTTAGTTGAATTCTTTAGTAAAAATTTGCCAGTCCAAAAAAATAAAAACAAACAAAAAAAGTTGGTGAAAGAAACTCAGCATTCTTTCATCAGTTCTGGAGACTATATGAAAAGGAGCACAGCATCCACAGGCCGGAGTCTTACAGATCGGGTTTGAAATATGGTGCAATCAGATTACTGACCTCTACTTAAAAATGAGATTCACCTCCTAAAGCCAGAGAGCCAGTGAAAGGTTCAGCGGGGGAAATGATCCTATGTGCATTGCCTTATAGTTGGGAGTCCACATGAGAGATGATCAAGAGCCAAACTAAAGCAGAGGTGGGGGGCTGGGGATTTAGCTCAGCGGCACAGCACCTGCCTGGCAAGCGCAACGTCGTGAGTTCGATTCCCAGTACCGGAAAAAAATAAAACAAATATATATATATATATATAAAGCAGAGATGGAAGTCAAGCAACCGGAGCAGAGCTGGACCAATGGCTGGCAACAGGATCCCACTGCCCCCAGTGGGCATTTTATGTACTTCTGGAAACATTTCCAGGTTGTCAGCAATAACTGAAGAGCGAATCTGGCATTTTCTGGGTAGAGGCCAGGGATTCTAGACATCCTGTAATTACAGGAGCAGTGCCATACAATGAAGCCTTGTTCTGCATGCCACTTGACTTTCATACATCCATCCAGGCATTCTTGTAGATGAAGCCCTGAAGCTTCAGCCTAGAAACTGCGTTTTATATTTCAACTCTAAATGCTCATAATGCAGTTCTGTTACATACTAAATTGTTCAGAAATACAGCTCCCTTCTTCATGATGGAAGAATATTGTTTTGTTCAAAGCCTTGCTAAAAGCATCCAATTGGCATGTAGCTTGTTCTATTTAAATCACCAACACAATCCACCTGTATCGCTTTGTACTTTGGACTTTTAGTTGTGCTTTTTTTTGTAACAGCTATCGATTGGTTTTAAGGAAACATTCACTTGGGTTACAATATTTATACTAGAACTTTGTTCGTTTTCCTTACGTAGTCAATAGAACAATGAAAGAAAGAACGTTGCTTTTGGCCTAAGCATTTGATTCTTTTATTGACCTATGGCACTCACATATCTATAAATTTCATAGGTATATTAGAACTTTTAAGATTTTAATCCATGATCTCTCCTCTTTCTTGAGTTCCTATTTTATTTCAAAATGTCTAATACTTTTAACAGTTGTTTGCATTTTTTTTTTTTTTAATTTTCTTCTGGTACTGGGAATTGAACTCACGACCTCACGCTTGCCAGGCAAGCGCTGTGCCGCTGAGCTAAACCCCCAGCCCCCTGCAATATTCATTTGAATATTGGCTGAGTGTCTTAAACTCTAGATTATTCATAAGTAGTGGAAATATATTGCCACTTCCTTAGGTCTATAATTATGCCCAATTATTTCTGTTTTATCATGTATTGTTGAGTACTTACTCTCCTTTTACTTCTCCATTAGTATTCTAATTAATGTAATATGTATTTTTAGAATTATATTAAGGCCACATTTTATATAGTGTGATTAAGGGAATTTTATAAGGTATTTGTTTTACAAAGAAAACAGTCTTAGAAAATTTGAAAACCTATTAGATCCTTAAGAGTCAGAAACTACAAATTTCAGTGATGTGTTTGCTTTAGAGGTGAGAATATAGAAATTTATAACTCTACAAATTGCAGTATTACCAATAAATTGTATATTTTAAACGATGTACAAGAGAAATTTAAATAATTCTAGATTGATGAGTCAGGCATAATTCATAAAAATCTGAAAAATATCTAAAGAAAGGATAGAACAGTCACTCTATCTGTTTGAGGAAGAAGCTATTGTTTGTTATTATTGTCTCTTAAAAAGAGGTGGTGGTATGTATTTAAACCAGCAGTGCTACTTCATACCCATTCTTAGTGTAAATTAATCCAACTTTGAAGATGACATTGAAGAATTTTCATTTCTCTAATTCCTGCCCAAGATGGTTTCTAAACCAAAAAATGAAATGAAGCCAAGAAATTAGAACAGTTGCAATTGTAGCTACCGTTGAAATTTCGTTAATTTCATTTACATTTAATACAGTTCGGTGTTTATTAATGTGCTTTCTTTTTTGTAGTACTCTGCTTATTTTGCCTTCCAAACAGAAAGTCTTCCAAAGCTAACAATTTCCCTTTAAAAATTTCTATGCCTGGCACACTGACAGGGAATCTTTTGTGTATCCAAAGCGGAAGGTCAGCGTGTAGACTTAGGCCACAGTTTAGATCCCAGCTTAGATCCCAGTTTAGATCCCAGTTTAGATCCCAGTTTAGATCCCAGCTTCTGTCGTCCACTTTATAAGGCTTTCCCATCAAGCCAAAGCACTGTACCTAAGCCAATAAGGTGGCTGCTAGCACTGTTTGAAATGTTCAGATCCAGTAGTTAGTATTTATCAGATTTCATTTAGTCCCCCACACAGAAGCCAAGGAAGAGAGGACCAAAATATTTTGGAATAGAACTTTATCCTATTATCTTGGCAATGACAATAAAAGGAGGCTAAGAAGAGTTTTTAACTAGGGATGCAGCTAGTGTCAACTCACACAGCTGGACAGGGTGGTAATGCTAAAATAAAGTTCCGGGCAGCGCATGTATCAAAGGATGTCAACACTGAACTTGAGTAAAAGCCTGTTGGAAGAAAGTATGACATTGGGAAGTACTTTGATCTGAGAAATATTCATGGGGTGACATTCACAAAGTGGTGATATTTAAAATAGCTTAAGACCAGTATGGGGCAGTCACTGACCAATCAGTTCCATAATCAGACAGGGCTCCACCTATAAACAATTCATAGGGATTTGATGATGAATAGAAGGCTGACATATCCATAGAAGGCTAATGGCTCTTAAAGGTTTCTGATCATGTCTACAACCAGTCTCTATATTAGGGACAGTTATGCTAACATTGTTCCATAACTTCCAGGCTTCATGATAAGAAATGGGAAGCATTTTTAAAATAAGAAAAGAGGGTGAGAGGTAGGAATATGGCTCAGGGGTAGAAATCCTTGCCAGGCATACTTGAGGGCCTGGCTTTGATCCCTAGCACTGCAAAACAAAAACAAAAACCACAAGCAAAACCCCACAGTAGCTATGGATAAACTGAGTGTATTCATTTTTTATTAAATAAATATCTCTAAGAATATATGATGAGGCCTTCTAGACACTTCTGAGAACTGAGGATGCAGTGGTGTGACTAAGATAGACAAGGCCCAAGATTTCATGGAGCTTATTATTTCCATTAGTTTATTGAATTAATTGATCCAAAATCTAGTTTTCTTTTTAATTGAATTAAAGTAGTTTGTTATTCAATATAGCAAACACATAACAAAGAGAGAATAGGGTAAAAAAATCTGTGCACCTATTAATCAACTTTACTAATTCTAAATTTGGTTTCATTTTCTTTGTCATTTACATATAATTAAAGTATAATTTGGTAAGTTTTGAATTATGTAAATACCCTTGAAAGAATAATAATAACAAAATAAACTATTCATCACTCTCAAAATTCCCTTGTGCCTGTTTATAATCCATCTATTCACATGTCCCCCTTCCCCCTCCTGTCCTCATGCAACCATTAATTTGACTTCTGTCACTACAAATGAGTTTGAGTGTTCTAGCATTTCCCATATA